AAACAAAAGTTCCCTCTTTGTATCTATCGTTCAAAAAAAAACATGAGAAAAAATCAAAAAGTATCATCAGAATTGACCAATTCAAAAAACAGAAAAAAAAATTTGTTACTGGTACAAAAGAAATTTTCTTTTCTTTCAATTTTTTGTTACCGTTTTTTTCTGGTTACAAAAACTTCCCCCACCTAAAATGCACACTAAGTTCAGCCGATGATCCCTCCTGTTTGATGGGACCTTAAACCAACAAATGAACCACCGAGACACATTATTGGCAGTAATACACAGACGGCTGCAAGAGCTGAGATGCGGCGCCGATACAGAGAGAATGGCCTACTACCATCCCCATATACAAACACGCAAACACGCATACATACAAACACACACATACATACACAGTTATACATACATAAACATATAAACTAAATCAACTAACTAAAACCCGCTAGCTGCTCGCCTGCAAGGAATAGCGTTGGTGCAATATGTTGATGATGATGATGATGATGATGATGATGATGATGATGATACTGATGATGATGATGATGATGATGATGATGATGATGATCGATAACGATAATGATGAGAAAATGCACTGAAAATTTGTCGGGTTTTTTTTTTCTCCAGCTGCTGACACAACTAAGCAATCACTGTGCAAATCGACCAAAAATCAACCTGAATGCTCTCTGTTTAATAGAACACTAAAATAAGAACAAAAAAAGAACAGTAACTAGTGCAGCAACGGGTCAATCAATTACAGCATTAAAAAATCATGGCTCAACGTATTGAATTGAAAAAAAATTTTCACAAATAATAGTTTACACACACACACACAAATGCAAACACAAACACACGAACACACACACATACAAATACAAACAGAAAAACACGCACAAAGAGACACCAGCATTTGAAGCATTCAAAAAAAGCTGATTTTTTTTTTTTATTTCTTCTCCTCAGCCTCTCTTATTTATCCTTCTATCAAAACCCCTAATTATAAAAAAATTCAGATATCGACAGTATCAAATCCTTTGACATCTCCTCCCCCTCTCCTTGCCTCCCTTTCCATTCTCTCCACGGTATAATTGACACCCAGCACAATTAGTAAAGTTTTTTCACATATTTGAAAAAAAATTCACTTTTACACATCAGTTCTCCCTCTTGTCATTCACTCTTTTGTAGGCATTGATAATTGAAAACTTATGCGCATCAACATTACTTTTTGCCTTTCATATGCTTTTTTAAATGATAAATCTTATAATTTTTTTGAGTTTGCATAATTGTCTTATGAATAGGATGCAACTGGGATAATCTGGAACAGAATGATCATAATAATTTCAGGGGAATGGGCTGAACAAATATCAATCATAGATATCGCCCAACCATATGGTTATCTATTTGTATTTGTAGATCTTTGAACAAATATAATGCAGTACGCTGAACTGACAATCTACAGAAAATGAAATTTTTAACAAAAAGAGGTCTATCAATAGCAAATTATTTACTCAAGCTTTACGGTTTGGATAAACGTAGTAATGTACCCTGTTTTTCAAACAGATATTCGCACTGTCATAAAAGGTGCAAAACAAAAAAAAAAACTAAAAACTTTCCTCACTTTACTTTGCATCACTCCATATTACAACTAGCCATAGTTTCCTCAAGTTTTTGTCATCTGACACTAACCTGACTAGTGACAGACAATGCTCTAAAAAAATATTCTTACGAAACAGAATTAACGCCTCGTATGAGCAGTCACTGGTGACAGGATTACTTTTGGTGTTATTGTTTTAAAGTTCAGTCATTTCAAAAGTATAAGCATTACACAACCTTATAAACGTTACATTTTTGCAAACCCGGAATCTGCTCAAAAAAATCTCTGGCCTTTCTCCAAACTAAACACAGCTAGTTAGATTATGAATTTCTAAATCCCCATTTTTTCGTCAATCAGATGTTGAAGTAAAAATTTCAATCTTTTAAAAGTCTGAAGTATGCGAGTTTGAAAATTTAACGATAGCGCTGTCAATATCATCATTTTCAGTGTGTTCTTAAACGCAATTTGGGCGATGTCTTTGTCAAACTCCCAAACTCTCATAAGTCGGTCTTTTAAAAAAGCAAGATTTTTGAACCAAGACCTAACTGGAAAAGAATTAGAGTTGAAGTGCTTATTCTTACTAATTAAGGTTTACAAGAAAAAATTTCGAAGCCTTTTAAAGAAAAAAAAATTCTTATTTGAGAACGTAGACCAAATATGGATGCAGAAACCTAATATATTCAAGCTACTAAAAATGTATTAAAAATGAACAAAGTCAAATTTAGCAAATTTTCTGGTAATGTCATATCAAAGCAAAATTTGAGCTATTTTCTAAACACTTAACTGTGTGTTAAGCTCTTAAAAATTAATATTTAGAAGGTGAGTCCTTAGTTTCACCGGACGTAAAAAACTTCTATTTTTTAACCACAAATAAGTGGCGCAAAGTACAAGAATTTTGAAATTGTTCCACAATTGCAGTAGCCCCGTACCAGAATGCCAGCTCCCAAAAAACTACAATTAACGACGTTCTCTTTCGCAACGTCGATAACTAGTGCCAAAAATTCACTTCAATTGTGTATTAACGAGCGACAGCACATAGCTTTTCTAACCAAACTCCTACTCTTCTCAGATTCTAAACGAATCAGATAAAAATGTTCATGTCCTGATGACAATCCAAAACGACGTCGCATCACAAGTAGCGAACAAGTAGCATTTGTATTTTTAATGGGGATTTTTTTCAGCAGTCCACATTCGAGACGGGAGGAAGAGACAGATTGTACACCAGCGGAAAACTAAAAGAACCGCTCGACGCGATGGAGACTAGAGCACACAAAAAATCTCCATCCTTCTGATAAGTTCTCGCTTTGTCAATCTAATAATGTCGTCTTTCACGCAATAAGATCATGGTGTAAAACACGGTGTGAGACAACTTGACAAAGAACACATTCTGGGTCTTTTTTACATCAGCAGAAAATCAGCTCCATTATGAGATCAAAGTACTTTGTATCAGGAAATATTTTGCCATTGGAAAGAGTTGCCTTTTGTCAAGTTATAAAACCCGTTCAAAAAGACAAGGAAGTTTGAAGACCGACGTTGGATGGTGATTGAGGAGAGAACTGGGTTGTTTAGAAAAGATTAGGTAGCGCAAAACAAAGGAGGCGAAAACTCGTGACGTCACTGCATGCTGTACAACCAGAGAACAAAGTAAGATACGAGAGGGTGAAGATTGAAGGAGACGCTAGAATAACTTCGATATATTGGGCTAAATTACATTTGAAAGAAGAAAGTCTTGATCGAGGGATAAAAGTGTTAGCGAAAATCTGGCAAAATAAAATGATGGATTAGCTTATAAAAGAAAAACCCACCAAAAGACGGTGACATCGAGTTGCATTTTCTATGCCTTTGTAAAAAAATACATAAATGTAATCTAAAGGTGAGGTCAACGTAGCTTTGAAAAAAAAAACACAACTAAAAAGTGTATTCTAATACATTACATTGCAGTAACCACCGTGGACAAAACGTTACGAAAACTGAATTTGACACCAACTTTTCCGAAGAACTCAAGTAAAAGTTTAATTGTACATAAGCAGCTTGAATTTCATGATATTTGTGACTGCCATTTTTGGTATTTGCGCTAATTTCTCCTTTGCAGCCGCTGCTTCAGACATTTTTATGTAAAGCGAATGTCTCTAAACGCTTATATCTGAGAGGAATTTTAGTCGTTAACATTTTGCCTACCTACATCAAAAAAAAAAAAAAAAAAAAAAAAAAAAAAAAAA